GAATACGAAAACATTGGTGAATGCCACAAATTCTCCTAAATCACTCGTACGCACAATTTAAGAACAAATCTGTGTGTACGAACGGTTCTTGCATGAGGCCCATTGTTACAACAAAAATATGATTACTTTTTGTGCTAAGTTTAAATCTTTGTTTCAGTCTTTCTGCTAAGCTCGGCAGGTAGCTGTGGCTTCATATTCATCATTATTTCACTGCGATGCAAATCACTTTTTAAAATCAGTTTTTAGATTCTAAACCAAACCGTTGAATTTACAATAAAACGAAAAAGGTATCATTTGAAAGTAAAATCCAATTCTGCAACAGGGCACATTGTAAGATTTAAGGTTCATCAACTGAACTGGAGCAGTAACAAAAATTCCTAACTCACGCACAAACTAATCTTCTTGTGGTGAAAAAAAATGTTTTTTCCTGCCCCGATAGTGTTGGTGTATATGTTTAAATCAAGAGCGGGATGACTGAAACAGAGAATGTAAACTCACAAAGCGAGACGAGTTGTCATTTTTCACTGTCTTGGCGTTGCCAAAAGATTCGAGGATGGGGTTGGCCTGCAGGAGCTGCCGTTCCAGCTCCCCCTGTGATGAAAGACAGAGAGGAAAAACACTGTTAAAATGTTTTTAATTCTTGGTACTTACGCAAAGGAATCTGAATAACAGCTATTTTTTCTCAATGTTTTTATTTGTTTCCTCCAAAACATACTTAAGCAGGCGAGGCGAAATCTATTAATCATAACAGGAGATTAAAAAAAAGAAGCCAAGTAATTGCGTTAAGCCAATCTTTCAGACAGTGAGCAATTCGTCATACTTCTGTTGGCTTTTGCTTCAGTCAACTGCAGTACAATGTGATTTCTGTCAAAAGAATTTGACCATTTTAGGGGCCAAGACAACCAAACAGTTGGAGAGATCTTGAACTGCAAAGGCAATAAAGTGAGATAATTGTTGCTACACGTTCGGTTTCTTCTGGCTGTCACTTTCCTCAGGTTGTGCTCATGTAACCTGTGCTGTACATTAAAAAAACAACCTCATGCACCATCCAATCATATAACCTATATTTATCCTTTTTTAATCTGGTACTGAATAAATAAATGTAACCCTGCAGGCAATGAGTCACACTAAGGATTTTTCCAATACTGAGTTCATATCATTTTCAAAATTTCCATCTCAAAAACTTCAAAATGATACCTAGTTTGTTCAGTTTTAACAATTTATCACCAACAAGCAACAAGCTAGAATTGTGTACAGGAGTGGCAAATTGAAAATTCGATTTTGATTGGTTTGAGTGACGTTACTTGGAGTTCCAATCTTGTATTTAAAAAGGGGACTGCTCAACCATCACCATGATTCCAAACACTATACAAGGATGTTTTGGTCCATTCTAAAATCAACTTAAAAGGTTTATGACTACAAGGATTGTTTCTGAAGATTTACCTGTTAGAAAACTTCGACGATTAGGAAGAACATATGCTATTTTAGTTGGGATTGCTTGGATGGTGTCTTTAAGGACTAATTTTTAGGCAAATCTTAATATTGACAAAAATCAATATTTTTTTGCATTTTACACTGCAGCTTTGTTCATTCTGTCACATTTTGCTAGCATGGGTTACGTATTGGATGCTTCCAGTTTAACTAATAATCTTAGTAAAAAATGCAATAACACTTGACTGTGTACAGGTTTGACTTTAGAACCTTACAGTGACTGAACTACTGTATAAAACAGATTTCATATAAATGATTTCGCTTTGATGTTACAGAATTTGTGTTTGTGTTGTCCCAATGGGATTTCATTTGATTCTATATAATTAGTGGTTTACGTAATTCAACTGTAGATTACTTCAATAATGAGTACTGAGGTATATGTCTATGGACAACAGAATGAATGAATAAATAAATAAATAAATAAATAAATAAATAAATAAATAAATAAATTACCTATTTCTTTATGTTTTAAGAAATGTTTTCATTACCTGCAGCTGGATTCGTTCTCCTGTTGTATTTTCTAGTTTTATTTCAGATGTGCACAAGTTCTTGTATAAATCGACTATCTCACTGACAGTATTTTAATATTTAGGCTGCTTTATTTTCCTTTCACTTCTTCTTCGTCCTCATTTTTACCTCCTTTCAATTGCCTCTCCTGAACAATTTCCTTACCCTCCTTCAATCCCTGACCCTACATTCCTCTGGCTTGTGGACAGAGGCAGCTGTAATGCAAAGCAGAAGGGAGGCAGCGTTAAGCAGGTCAGTGTGGATGGTGCAGTCCAGGCAGTTAACTAACTCAGGTACAAGATAATAATAATAACAACCAGAAATTTACTCAAACCGTCTGTGCTCAGTGATTTTGTTTGCAGAACTCATAAAGAACTTCTTCTGGTTCTGCAGTTATTAGGTCTGCAGCTGACAGAGAAACATCAGGTACTGATTTAGGGGAAAAATTRCAACTGGATAAATGTAGCAGAGAAGAGGCAAGATTGAAGAGAGGAACGGAAAATTGAACCAAGTCAATAGAGTCTAAGTAGTTTTATTTAAACAAAAAATTGTGTTTTCATGTCTTAAAAACACTCCTGTGTGCAACGCACAGTAAAAGTTGAAATGCACTTTAAACTAYAGACATGCATCTAAAGCTTATAGCTCATTTAAAAAACATGCAGAAACGTCATTTTTATTCTTAATTTGCAATAAAAACTTTTTTATTCACTTAGAAGTTTTAAAATGAAGCTGAAGGAGAGATGTTTAGTGTGGCTGTGATCTAATAACACGGGGCTGCACAGCCTCGGGTTCCATTAGGACTTAATGAACAGCTTTTATTGCAGGTATTTGACATGTGTTTCTGATGAAACACCTCAATTTACAACTGTTTTAATAAACCAGAACCAACTGGATAAAGGTTTCAAGTGATTTTAGCATGAGCTGGTTTAACGGCAGATTTACTGGGTTTCAAATAATCGAATGAGTAGATTGAGCCAGCACAAACACATACCTCATAACCTCATCGTTTAGATTAGTCAGTCAGCATCATTATGGAGGCAGCAGTGATTCAAAGAGAAGGGCATGCAAATGAACACAAACATCAGAACCGGACCACACACTTAAGTGGGAGGTACACTTGCCTGTAGCTTGAATACATTGGGAGATTCGGGCTGTTTGTTATAGATAAACAAATGAAAGTATTAGAATGTGAAGCACTGATGTTGGACACAAGCAACAGGAAATACAAAACCAGTACATATTGGATACACTGACAAATTAACACTGACCAGACAGATTAAACTGACATCCCTTTGATAAGAGGCTGATTATTACAGTTGAATAACAGCTAACAAAACTAAGATTTATGCTTCAGGTTCAATTACAAGAAAAATTATATGACTGATTTTATATTATGAAAAAATATTTGATTTCATTGTCAAGAGAAAACCTCAAAAGCCATTTGGATATTAAAAGTTAGAAGCTGGGAATTTTGCAAACATTTAAGGCTTTTCTGTTCAAAATCATGTTTTTTGTAGCTACTGCTAAAAAAAGGGCTGCAAATAAATTCTTTAACAATATATTTTAAACAGTTTGTTCAAATGATCCATTGATAAGCTCATTATATTTTGACAAAATGCAATTCTTGCAAATGTTTTAATAAATGCACTACAGCTGCTTATTTCTCCACGTAACTTTGGGACTTAATCCTCAGTTTGATGTGATAGATCACAAATTTTAAAGATAAACACTTGGAACTTAATTTGAATATAAGTACTATGAATACATTTATCTTTGTCAGCAAAAGCACTAGAGGCCTAAAAGGTTGATTTCAGAAATATTCGTATTGTTTTCAACAGATATACACAAAGATGGAAGATCTAAATAAAAACACAAAATAAACAATATCCTAATTTAGTAATAATCTCAAATTAAATGTGCTTATTACACAGATTATTGCTTATTTTTTTACTGTCCTGCTTTTTGTAAAATAACATTAAGAAGCTGATGAAGTTATACTATACTATATATTATACTATATTATATTATACTATGTTGTTCATTAGACTGAAACATGTGCTAATTCTTGTAGCTAGCTGTAAACTTTTGCTTTAAAATATTTTTAGCTTAGAAGCAGTAAAGGGTGGTGCACTTCTGGTAGAGAAGTCATAACCATCTGTGTTTTTCACCAGAAATGTTTTTAACAGAAGGGTTCCTTTTGAGGGGATGAAACATCTAAACACAGCTGACACCTAATTTTTCATGATACATTAAAAAATCACAGCAATAATATATACATTTTTTAAGCAGTAGCAGCAATAACACTTGCCTTATAATTGCCTTAAAATTATTAGATTAGTATTTCGTATTAGCTATGCTAAGCTAAGCCCTCTTCTGGTTTATTATTTTAGTTACTATTAAAACACACAAATATGAAAGTGTTTTCACTAGGCATTTATGGCATTTTCACAGCATTAATAATGCAACTATGTCAGTCACAAAAAAACACTGTGCATTGAATTTAATAATGAGTAATGGAGCAAAATAATTTATATATGATTACTTTTTAAAGACAGAAAATGAGAGCTGAAAAAAAGGCGACAGAGACAGTAGGTGAATTGTAAGCAGCGGGTCTCACAGGAATGTTGTGGTCCTTGCGTCCTTTATGCGAAGACGCAACATGGGCCAGATACTGGATGACCTTCTTTGTGTTCTCAGTCTTGCCAGCCCCTGATTCACCTCTGAAAACAAAAATTCAACAACGTGGTAAGAAAGAAACAAAAAACAAAACAAAACAAAAAAAAACAGGTCAGTGAAAAGTAAATACTAAACCTGAGATAATCTACATTAAAACGTCTGTTCTCAGAAAGAATAATCCTTTATTCACGAAGCATAACCACAGTACAAGACATAGGCTGTATAAATTGTCCAAATTTTAATGGACAACACACTGCAAAACCATAACCAAGATCACACTTAATTACCCTAATTTGGGTAAAAGTRATTGGATGGATGGAGAGTAGATAGTAGATAATTGCCATTAAGCTACATGTTGTTTTTGTATCTATCCATTGTTTGTCAGAGGGTTTTACTGGAGAATGCTGTGGTCTGTTGTGTTTCCAAAATTTCCAGGCCCCGCTTTAAGGTTTTCTTTAATGATAGCTGTGTGAGGCAGGGCCTTCCACAGCTCCCACAGTCAGGTTCTGGTGCCCAGAAAACACGGGCCAACAGCAAAACCAGGCCAGCAAAACTACATTGAGCTACATACCTGTGGCTTTACTGTAGCTGGTCATTAGCTCTACTGCACTTAGTGCACTGTTGTTTCACATGCTGCACTAGAATCAGAGGCGAGTCCTCGAATGCACAATACAAGCATAAAAATATAGGTCAAATAGGCACAAATATAACTTTTGAGATAATTACCTCATAGTATTACAGCACAGTTGGAATACATCTAAAGGAAACTGTTCACTGATTTCCTCAAACCTTGGCAAAGAGCCAATCACAACAAAAACAATACCTACTATAATGACAGAGTTGGAATTACTTTCTGACCATTTTGAGCAATAAAATCTTTGACAGGCAATTAAAATACAGAGATTGCATCATGTCAGTGTTAAAAGCCTCAGCTTCTTAATGTTTTCTTATAATAGTTCACATTTTTATGATGAACATGAATAAAAGCTTAGTTACATGCCCTACTTTATTGAAGTTTGTTGTGAGCCAATAATGATGTAATAGTTTTCTCTAAAATCACAGTCCAAGCTATAAACAAACACCTAATAAACTTTTCTATATTTAAAACATAAGGCCAAGTAACTACACAAAATAAAGCATCAAATATGATTCCAAACCCTCTTTTTATTTTCCTTTACAGTTTTCCTCTTTAAAGATAACCAGGTTGTTGTAAATTAACAGGACACAATCAAAATGTGATTTTTTTTCTAATAAAATCCAACTCTTCTAACAGAGAAGTGCATTCTCATTTTGTAAACGTAAATTCTCCTGGTCTTCAACATACAGTGGTAGCAGGTCATTAATATTCATTCTGAGGCCAGGACTCCACAGGAATGCTTGACGTCACTGTTTAGGCCCCCTTCTTTCTCGGATTTCCAAAACCTACACAGCCTACTGTATGAACGAGTCTGGACCGCAGTAAGTTTTGGAAAATCTCCTTCAGAGTGAAATCTATCATGAAGTTGCCCCACTCTTTAAGGCTCCCCCAAAAAAGGTTTTTCCTATTATTTTCCGTGTTCTTGAGACACGCCCAAGCGTCCCTCACCATGCTCTTTACACCCGCCCTAGTAAGACTCTCGAACTGGGTCAGGCTGTAAATGAGCACTAGAGGATCCCATCCATCAGCTTACTGTATATAACTAGAAACAGGACTGAATGCAGAAGTTGAAGCCACAAAGGACAAGTGCCCCCTAATAGGCTGGCTGCAGGACAATTTGTAACTCTTGCCCATTTAGGCAAAAATAAGGGACATTTTTATTTAGTTATTATTATGTAACTGAGGCTTAAAGAAAATATTAAATTGATTGACAATGTGAACACTTTATTGGTGAGTTTGGAAGGTGTGTAAGTGAGATTTCTGTATTGATGGTAAAGCCCTACATCCCTCATGTGAAGACTTTGGCTCCAAAAACACAATACGGCAGCACCCAATAAATAAGGAATGGTCAACTGGCCGCCATGAAGGATTTTAATTTAAGTCGCCACTACAACATGCTGCACAATGCAAAATATGAGAAGTTTACTGAAGTCACAAATACATAAACAACACCAACTTCTTATCAGTATCACAACAAGCAGTCTGCACTCGAGGCGTCTTATGCTGCTGCTCTTCAGCTCGATCAAGTGTTTGTTTTTTGTTTGCTTCAAGTGTTTTGTTTTCATATTTGATAAACAAATGTGCAACTGTTATACAGGCATTTGAGCATGAAATATGTTGTTACTACACTGTATGTTGGTTTAACAGACACATACACAATTTTTTTTTAGTTTTTATTCTATTTGGGTATGTGTGCAGTGCTATGTGGCCCTCTGGTCTTGTCAACAAAATGTTGTGGCCCCTTCTATCATTTAAGTTAACCATCCTTGCAATAAATGGACATGATTGTATCAGTTTTAGACAATTAATAGAGTTGTTCATCTATATGTAGTTTCTTTACTTATACAAGTCTTTTTATAATGCCATAAGACTTTCAAACATTTTTTTTCTAAAATCTATTCTCCAGGACATCTGTTTGTCATTAACCAGGTTATACTTTTGATTCATGTTTCATCTTTTTTTAAACATATTTTTGTGAAGCAGAGAAGCTGTTTCACTATCACCAACGGGGTGAAAATTTCAGTGAGTCTTTCACACCAATCTTAAATCCATGGCACGCTAAAAGAAAGTGGTACTTAATTGCTCTCTGACGCAAAGGATGAGGGCAGGCCACCAAACCACACTCATAACTCCCTCAGTATATGGCAGAGCTGCTGTGGAGGCCAGCATCCGCAAAAAGCTATTTGTAACTAGTCTTTAAATAAAATGCAGTCGGACGATGGGAGTTAAGCAACTGAATGGTGATGACAGAAACATAGAGTGAAATGGGGAAAAAAGACTTTACTAAGATAAAAGAAATGGAAAAACCACATTTGAAAGAAGGAGGAGGAAAAGCTAGAGGCTTGATTTTTATCAAATGCTTTTAATATAAGTACGTTATGTTCAGGTTTTTTTTAAAAGTGAAACTATATACAGTATACCCTTCATTTTCAGACAGTTTCAATTATAGAGTCAACAACAGTTTGTCCTAAGAAGACTTCAGTGGAGAAGAAACAAAAGAAAGCTAAAGTAAGAGTTGTAGTACTCACGTGCAAAGGATTGATTGGTCCTCACGATCTGTTCAAAGAAAAGAAAACAATCAGCATAATTCAATTGTTTTATAACACAATTTAACTGTTAAACAATTTCATTGGTTAAATTGTTAACCCTTAACTCTTATTTGACTTTAATATTTTCACATTAACATTTAATCAGTAATGATTTGCCAAGGAGTTTATATAGAACAGCTGGAGTGCACAGAAAGCACATGACCGTGTGACCATGTCTGGTGAAGCTAACGGCTAACGCAAAACGGTCAAGAGTCTGGATTTCCCATTACTGTACATGTTTACAACAGAGCAGAAAAAAGGACTGATAATGTAGAAATCAATAAAACTATTAATAATAATATCAACCCAATTATTATTAATATTTTACAGTTTATATAATCTATCTAATGTTTTAAATAATGTCAGAAAAGCTGTTTGTGTTATGGATTTATTAACTGAAGATAAACAGGAAAGCGTCTCATTTTACAACGCAARTCAGCAGATTTGATCTTATTTAGCTCAATGTGATCTGAGCAGAACATAATGTAACAGTTTAAAATTAAAATAATCTTATAAAGTTGATTTAATCACTGTTATTTATTGAACTGATTAGCAGATATTAGCTTGTTAGCATATATACAGAGTTTAGCACTGTTGAATCATGCTACAATTTAACACAAACTATTAAATATTACTTTGTCCTCTGATTAATACTGTAGGAATTACTTCGTGAAATTAGGACCAGCCTATTTTTCATAAATGTAATCCAGCAAGACCTTGCAAAAAATGAAATCAGAAATAATGAAACACCCCTCTGATCATGAATGAGAAAAGAACTTGTGATCTTTTCAGATTTCTCAAATAAAGTAATTTATTTTAGATATATGACCAGAATAAACATACAAACATTTCTTAAAATTATTATATGAATAAAAACACAAG